CTCTCTCTCTCTCTCTCTCTCTCTCTCTCTCTCTCTCTCTCTCTCTCTAACTTTTCACCCCCTTCTCACAATCTCCACTTTATTTTTCACTGAAGTAACTCCCTTCCCAGCTTAAATGGGAACACTGTGAGATTTATCAGTCTTTCTTCCCTATTATAATATTTTGTTTCACTTAACTGAATAGTGTCCTCTGGGAACCAGGCATTTGTCTGATAAAGAAGGTTGGAGAAATTTTTGGTTTAGTTTTGTTTTTCCTTTCTATTATCTATTGACTGCTTATAAAATGGATATAAAATGATACAGAACCCAGTACTAGGCACTGGTAGAGATCTATTAGAAGGAATTGTGTGTAATAGTGGTTTCGATTATTTTTAATGCAATCATAGAAAGTAGAAGGTGGGTGGAAAAGAGGATAAATATAATCATTCATGTATGAGTAGGAACTATTGAGGTACTTCCTCTCCTTGTATTTGGGATCATCTTCACTTTTTAAAATCGTACTTTACTTCTGGACATTAAAGCTGTGAGAAATTAATTTAATTTTTCTGAAGGTGTGAAGTGTTTTTCCTTTATTGTTTTAAAGTTCTAGACTATCTCATAATTTTTAAAAACTTTTTCTGATGTGTTAGCTATAAAGCCAAAATAGTTTTATCTGGTATTATGAGTTTCATTGCCTCAATGTAGTGTGGTGGCTCTGGCTTCCAACAACTGACTATTCAAGATCATTGGGATTATCATGTCTCTGATTTATGATGATATAGAGACATATTTTGTCACCTTAATATGAATAATAACTAAACTAGCGTATGCTTTAAATTTTTTTATTAATTTATTTCCTTTCAACCTTTTTTTAACAGAATACATAACTCAGAGATTTGTTTGTGGAAAAATAATGAAATGAATATTGGTCAGAATAGTCTAGTGTTTAACCAGGAAATCATATTCATACATGTATTTTTTGTAAATGTCCCTCTACATGTAATATAGCTTAGTTTGGATTTCAATATGTTTTTTTTTTATGTTGTCACCTGATTATCAAAAAAAATTCAGCCTCATTTTTCATTTCTGTTGGCATAGTGGTGCTTTCTAATGTTGCAACAAAACCTTGGACACTGGCTTATATTCTCAAGCAGAATCACTTCAGTTGTACCTGGCACATACATAGTACCTTAATAAATATGTTTGTGTTTTAGAAAATGTAAAATCCATTCTCTGTTATGTAATTTTACCATGATTAATAATCTTTAAATAGGGTCTTATATTTTTGTGTGTAATTCTACATACAAAATTATTTCTACTTAGGAAATTATTCTAAGTACCCTAATTTTCAAATGGGTTGCCTAGATTTGAAACAAACAAACAAAACAAACCTAGATTTCTAAAGAACAAAGGGATCCACATTTTTGTGGTTATCAAAAACAGTTGGAGGCATCTGAATATTAAAGATGAGGAGGAAATATCTGAAGTTATCCCCTGTTTCCCTTTGTCAGAATATCTTCCATTTCCATCTTAATTGTTTTTCAGACTCTGATCCTGCAGACAAGGCAGGATTGACCTTTCAAAATCCAATGTATGGCAATAGCATCTACTCAGCCCTAATTTTTTTGGGGGGAGAGGCAGTTAACTTTATTTATTTATTTATTTATTTATTCATTCATTCATTCATTCATTCATTCATTCATTCTAATCAATTATACATGACAGCAGAATGCCCTTCAATTTATTATACACAAATTCAGCCCTCATTCTGTTGTAACCACAATCCTGGGAACATATAGGTTACTTGTTCCTCCCAAAGCATTCAAAAGCTAGGGAGAGCTTTAAACACTAATTTTTCTTCAGTCCTTCAAAACTCTTCAAACCTCCTTTCCCTCCTCCTTGCTTTTGGCAGTGTGATAGATGTTTCCTAATGTTTCAACAAGAACCTCAGTTACTGACTTCCCTTCTCAAGCAGGATCATTTCAGTTGTGCCTGACACATAGTAGCAGCTTCATAAATATTTTCTGTTTTGGTGAGCTGATGAGGGACCTGCTGTGGCTGTTCCCTCGGAGCTTATAGCAGGTAAGCAGTAAGCCCTTAGAGTAATAAAAGGGTAAGTGAAAATTGGATATGGAGGTCTTCAGATCCTAGAAGTGGACATGTTATACCATTTAATGATTAAGTCCTTATCTCATCTTTATCTTCATAAAAGTAGTGAGTTTCTGACGGCAATTTTCCATCTTTCATAAAGGTCCTTTTTAGCGGTCAGTACTACATAGACTACTGGCTCATTTAAAATAATAATTTTTGGCAAGCTATCTTGGTTATCCTCATTAAATTTCATATGCAAATGCGTTAGATACTTAAGATTCTGGCTCTCAAATATATTCCTCTTGCACTCTGCCACAGGGTCCTTTGAATCTTGGCTCTTCTCATTTCCTCTGAACAATTATTTTTGGACTTCTTTTATTTACATAGGTCCTAGGATGATATCTATACAGAAATTTTATGTGGATTGATTCTTTTACATAGTATTTCATTACTTTTAGCTACAGAAATTCCTGATCTTTCTAAATCCGTTTTGTCATCTTGTTATTCATTTTCAAGACTTCCATTGTGGTGGTAGTATAGGAAGATGGGGGCATCGCTTGGTAAAACCACCTGTGGCTCATAATTTTAAAGGCATTGAAAAGCAAAGCCTGGGGAATTATTAACAGGCTGCAGCTTGTTAGCCAAGCAATTTTTAAAATGCAGATTATATAATATTGGAGGACTTTGTTGCTCAACAGTAGAAGCTTTTTAAATGTTAATTTGGAGTTTGTTTTGTTGTTCTGTGACTTAGCATAAAAGGTTTTAGTTTTAAAAGGTTTCAGTTCACTCGTTCCATTTGTCTTACCAAACTCAGAATACAATACTATACATTTATTTATACTCATGAAGAAGGATAAGGCCAGTAACTCACAGCTCATGAAACCAGGGGTAAATAACCCATAGCTTGTTCTCCCACCATTGCCACAATATTTATATCCAGAACACAGTAGCAAACAACCAAAAACAAGGAAAAACCAGTTTGTTTTTATTTATAAAATGTTTAATCAAAAGTAGAGTAGAGTTCAAATGGAGCTGCAAATCCTAGTGGTTCACAATGGTTTGATTTATTTTTTTAACAGACCATGGATAATTAACCATAAAACATAACTTTCTCAACACAAGTTACAGTGAATTGCAGAAATGGGCAGCAAGTCATTCATAACTGGTTGCAACTGGTTAGAGATCTTCAAGTTAACCATGCAGATGGTTACAAAAGCTACTTTTTTAGTACACAATTTTATTTTCACTTCCAAACAGAAACATCTTTTACTTTCTATAAAATATCACTGGGTCAGTGTCCGAAATCAAGTAACAAATGGATTATTTTCTATGACTGCCATGTTGTTATACATTTATTAAAATTTATTAAAATGTATTACTTTTATTTTTAAATTGTGGTTTTTTTTCTTTTCATTTCAGAATCTTCTATCATCACTAACTGGATATTCCTCACAACACTGCTGGCTGGTAAGTAATGCTCATTATCTTTAGAAGGTAGTCCAAAATATTGAGGTGAAAAGAAAAATATATTTCTACCAATTTCAGAAAAAAAAATGAAACCTAATGGCTGTGGTGCATCTACCGCCTTAAGTACTAAATTTGAACAGAACACCTTTTGGCATTATTGACAGGTAGAATTTTTATATCCTGCTGTATTTTGAAATACGATTATTTAGAAAGATAAGAAACTTGATCCCCAAAACCATTGTCAAAGATACTGGCAAAAATTTTTGAATGACTTTGCTACACAGGGCTGGAAGTAGCCAAAGGACTTGTTTAAAGTCTCTCCAGAGAGATATTTTTCAAAGGAGACTCCTATAGGCAGGAAGGGTGAGAGGGTGAATATGGGAACTGATCTTTATGTAGAACATTGAATGTTTTGGCATTAAACAAACACACACAAACCCCTCCAAAGTGTGATTCTTTAAACTTTTCATTAATATTCTATAATATTCTGAAAATTTGAAGTGCATTTGCTTCATTTGGCTCAGTCTCAAAAGCAGATATGATTATTCTTACATATGCCCACAAACAGAAGGAAAGAATACCCTTAGGGACATGAATAAGACCCCCCCACACACATACACCACCAATCTTTACTAATTAAGGAAGAGGACCAAGATCAGAGCTGCAAGTAAGCATCACTTTTAGGTTTTGTCTGTCTTTTAGTGAGAATTTGTAAAATTTCAAAAAGGTTGGCATTGTGACTTCCTAGAATTCTTGATATTTCAGTGACTAGGAGGAAAGTGCTGGTCAAAACTGAGGGTATATTGGTAAATCATCCTCAAGTTAGATATAGCCTGAAGATCTAAGTTTGCTAGAGCTTGGCCTGCATTGAAATGCACTGGCAAATATTCTGGAGAGGGAAAAGGAGGGAAGGAGTGACTTGCCTGGCATCTGACTATGCTGTGCCTGGCTCCAACCAGGGCTATTTTGTCATGAACATCATATTCATCCAAACCTTTAAATGTTACACTCTTGACTTCATTTTATATGAATGTGCATAAAATGAGGAAAATAATCTCTTAGGGTAATAAAGATAGCTTTGTAATAAGGACTTTCCATATCCATTGCACATGATCCATAGTTGTCACTATGTTGCTGTTTATAATTCTGTTGCTCATCTATTTCTGACTCTCTGAGCATATCCATCTCGCCACTGAAGGCCACAAGGCTTCAGGATTTTAACTCCCTCTCTCTCCCCACTCCCATGCTTTACTTGTTACACTGCCCAGAAAGAAACTCCTATCAGTGGGAGCCTCAGAAACTCAAGGGACAGGCTTATTTTGGTAACTTTAATTTGTAACTCCCTTTGCATTCATCACAAAAAAGATCTCATCACAAAAGGGCCTGAATTTCCCCCTCTTGCTGGTTTGCAAAGAAGCCATTTCCTCTCCTATTTCTTCCAAGGCACAGAAAGCTCCTTATGTTTCTATGATCAGATAAAATCTGTATCGATGTTTCTTTTCTTCTGGGTGTATTTCACTTCGAGGTATGAAGATTTAAGCTATCAGGGCAAGGCTGTGTGTTTGCAGTTTCTCTGTTTTAGTAAACAAAAACTTCCTTGGGAAAGGAGAGCACATATTTTCCACATCTTTTTCATTTTCAGATGATACATGCTCATTAAAAATAATTTGGAAAAATACATAGGAATAAAATGAAGAAAAATTAAAGTAATGATTTCTATAATTTAAATTCAGTCATCAAAAATTATTTTATTTTTTACTCTCTTTTTCCCTGAGGATATATATATATATATTAAACATGCCATAATCATACTTTCTATATAAATTTTGTATTTATTTCAAAATCTAACCTAAGAATTTTATAGTAATTACATATACCTTATAGAAATTTTTACTTTTCCTGAAGAGGAATAGCTCATTTAACCTAAATATCCAATAAGAGTGTTATTATTGCTATTTACTTTTTATGCCCCCAAAATTAATCTAAATGAATGAGTCCATAAATAATGAATAAATAAATGAAAGCTCAAATCAGTAAATACACTTATGTTTATTTTATGAAAATTTTCAAATACATGAATGTAAACAGAGTACTGTAACTAACTCCTGTACAGTGACTGACTCAGGACCTATCAGTTTCCTGCTATACCACAAAGTTATTTTGAAGCAACTCCAGACATCATGGCATTTAATTCATTACTATTTCAGGCTCATCAGGACATATTTACATGTTAATGTTCAAACATTCAGATAAATAATTTTAATCATTGTATACAGCAGTATTTTTCCTTCTTATTTACATATTTTCTAATGTGTAACGGTTGATTATAAAATCTCATTTGTGTGTTTCATAATATTCTTAGGCACATCTGTAAGCCAATAGGCAGTTTGGTTGACTAGAGAGACATTTCACAGACTTGGCTAGGTTTCTTGGGGGAAAGAACTGTCTTTCTTTTGGTACTTCTTTAACTTGACTCAAATTTAAGATGAGAATTATCATGCCAAACCTGTGTTGCCTTAATTATACTCGTTAGTAGACATATGCATGTATGTGTACAATTCTTTGTCTGAGATAAAAGGAAAATGTAGTCTTCTGACTATTGAGGAGTCTTCTGATTACTACAGTCTTCCTGCAGCCAAACCATACTAAATATAACAAACATACTTAAATCAAATGTACTGCGTACTCAAAAATTTATAGTTTTTAAATTTATTGATAGAAATGAAAAATATGTATCGGGTACATGGAACTTTTAGGAAGTCTGTAAAGAGGGGAATTATATAATAATAGTCTGAGTTGTATTCTTTAAAAAACACCATGTTTGAGGAGAAGGAGAAAGTGCATGGTAGAACAATGCCTGAGTATATCACGCTAGTGTGTTCTTATAATGTTTTAGAGGACCCTATATATAGCCAGCTTGCCATGGCTAAACCAGGTCTTTCACACAAAGAACTCCACAGATGAGGAATTCTCTGTTCAAATGAGGCTCTTTGTAAAAAACCTTTCTGCAGAATTTGGTCTTGTCTCACTGTCTTTGAATTGTAGGTCAGTGACTATTCAGTAGCAATGTGTTGTCCAACAGGTGTATTACACTCATCAAAAATTCAGGATGTGAGTAACTAAGTAACATACTGCCTTGGTATAAACTGAATTTATGTGTTACTCTGGTCTATTTAATCTTAGCAGCACATTTTCCATTGGCCTCGAAAGTTGAGTAGCTAGAATATTGATGTGTCTAACCCTTGGGGAAGTAAAAAAAGAGCTTCTCCACCACACTAAATCTCTAGAAAAATATGACGGTTTACAGTATGGACACATACAAAATATTTTCAGCAAAAGCTGGTAGAGAAAAGCACAAGGAAAAAAAAGAAAGTAATAACACAAGCAATAAACTATCCCAAGCAAACAGAGAGCATCTGTAAAATTTGGTAGACTGAATGATATAAACAATACAAACATTTTTTTTTCTTTTCAGTTTTTATTCCCCCTTATTCTTCTAACCATTTTTGTCTATCCTTTACCCTGATTCAGCATCACCATCATTAAAATATCAGCAAAAGGTCAGAAATATATGAATTCTTGGCATTCAGGAAGGTATCACAAGGAAAGATAGGTAGGAGCTAATATTTTACTATTTTAAAGCTTCCAAGGTATTTTACTCCAAATGTCTATATGTAAAACAACTAAGCTTTTTATCTGTAAGATTAATATTATCAACAGAATGGCTAAAATAAAGGTATAATGCTCCTTTACTTCTTCATGCATTCATTTCTTATATGTGGTGTTGGATTGTGTGCCTTGTGTTATTAAACCTAGACTATTAACTGCCTTTTAAAGAAAATAGTTTGCTGTTCTGTTTAAAATAAATGATTCTTTCTACCTGTGCATTACACACTATATCCAAGTGAAACATCAAAACCTTATCATGATAATAGCAATAATAATAATAATAATAATAATAATAGATAGTATTTTCTTCTAGGTGTGTGTGAAAAACACCCATTTCCTTGGAGTTGGCCTATTTGGGATCCAGTATTTTTTCAATTGATATTACATTTGTGACTTTATGTATCCTCAAACTGTTAAAAAAAAACCATTTCTTAGAATAAACTAGTAATCCACACCCACTACCTCCTCTTCCTCAGTAAGTTCAGAACAATAGTTGGATGATTCTATTTATTTAGAGCAGGGAATCCTTTTTAAGTACCCTCACCAAGTCAGAATTTTCATTTTAGATTTAAAGAATCTGATATTCACAAAATTAAGAAATAATAATAATAATAAAAAAGCTTCTTCAGTCATCAGGTCTCTGTTCCATGGAGCTAGGATGTTTTCTGGTTAAATTGTATTGCACATGTAACACATCATCATGCTCTATTACTACTCGGATAAGAATCAAGACATTTCCTCACTGAGGTAACTGCAGTGACTCCACTTCCCTTGCAGTGGTGAAGGAGGAATGAAAATCCCAATCAAGGCAGATATTCAAGGAAATGATTTTGTAGCCAGCTCATCCCTTACATGGTAGAATGCTGAGGAGAAATGTTCATATTTTCCTCTTTAACTACAGTCTATAGTGTGTAGGATATAATTTGAAGATGGTGTTTTCTTTGGGCATTCTTTCATAGGAGTACTAGATCCGTTGAGGCCTGGGTCTGTGTTCTGTCTTCCACCATTAAAAAATTTCTGAACATGCTGCTGATGTAGACCTTTTGGTCAAAAGTAATTTGCTTTCTTCATAGTTGATGGCCACCCTGTGAATCAACCTAATATACTTGTGGTATGGGGATCTGTAACCTCTGAATACTAAGTTCAAAGACTCTAGTAATTAATTATTTAAAGACATTTTAGCCCTTAACTATTTCTTTCTTTGTCCACAAACAAGTTGATTGGTTAATCATGCCTTTGTTTATTTTTATTGTTTTTGCTGTACACATTGCACATAAAACAGTTTCAAAAGAGGAAAGGCTGTTTATAAGAGGTAATTACAATGGCAAAAT